GAGACAAAAAAAAAAAAAAAAAAAAAAAAAAAAAAAAAAAAAAAAAAGGATAAAATAAGTATATGGAATGGCGCAAAAGTTGTTGATCAGCACATACATGCATACATATATACATACATACATACTTACATACTTAAATATTTACATACACAAATACATACATACATACACATACATACATACATACTTACATGTACATACATACATACATACATACTTAAATACATACACAAATACATACATACACAATACCATGTACACATGCACACATACATACATATATACCTACTTACATGCATACATACATATATACATATATAGGAGTGCATCTATGTATACACAAATCTAATGGTCATGTAGATATATGGATAAATAAGTGGAGATGCAGGAAGGAAAAGGGAGACAGAAATAGATAGAAAGAAGAGGTATATAGATAAAGAGAAAGACAGATGGATAGATAGATAGAGGGAGAGAGAATTTAATAGAAAGGGAGGCAGACAGACAGCTAGAAAGATAGATGGATACATAGATAGGTATAAAGATAGGCAAAGAGTGTGAGAGGGATAGGTACATAGATACATATATGCAATGAAAAAACACAGTACCGTGTTGATAATATGGAAGAAAACCCACAATGCACAAACTAGATTTATTGAGGAAAGTGAGACAACAGTTTCGGAATCGTCTCAATTCATCTTCAGACACGAAGATGGAATCCGAGGACGATTCGAAACTGTTTGTCTCACTTTCCTCAATAAATCTAGTTTGTGCATTGTGGGTTTTCCTTCCAGATACATAGATAGGCCATAAAGAAAGGCAGAGGAGAATTGGAGAGAGATGAGAGAGAGGGAGAGAGAGAGAGAGAGAGAGAGAGAGAGGAGGAGAGAGAGAGAGAAGAGAGAGAGAGAGAGAGAGAGAAGAGAGAGAGGAGAGAGAGAGAGAGAGAGAGAGAGAGAGAGAGAGAGAGAGAGAGAGAGAGAGAGAGAAGAGAGGTTAGATAGATAGATAGATTAGATAGAGGAGAGAGAGAAGAGAGAGAGAGAGAGAGAGAGAGAGAGAGAGATGAGAGAGAGAGAGAGGAGAGAGAGAGAGAGGTAGATAGAAGATAGGAGAGAGGGAGAGAGAGAGAGAGAAAGAGAAAGAAGAGAGTTAGATAAATAGGTAGATAGATAGATAGAGAGAGAGAGAGAGAGAGAGAAAGAGAAGAGAGAGAGATAAATAGGTAGATAGATAGATAGATAGAGAGAGAGAGAGAGGAAGACAGATAGGAAAAACGCACACACACCTCTCTTAAGTCAACCAGACCACGAACACAAACGCGCGTGTCCCTCACACACACACAACACATTCACACGCCCATGTCTAATGAGAATCAGTCAAATCGCTCATTAATTCGTTTCCATCCATAGGATTCCCACACTCACCCCTCCCCCCCTTCCCCCCCTACCCCTCCCTTCCCCCTTCATACTCTCCACCTCCTCTCCTGCCCCTCCCATCCACGGCTCTCCCTCCCCTCCCCTCCCCTCCCGGTCACCACCTCTCCCCTCCCCTCCCTTCTCCTCCCCACCACCTCTCCCACATCCCTCCCTCCCGTCCCCACCACCTTCCCCCAACACCTATCCCCCACCTCCACCCCTCCCACACCACACCTCTCCCATCCCTCCCCTCTCCTCCCATCCACGGCTCTCCCACACCTCCCTTCCCCTCCCTTCCCTTCCCCTACCCCTATCCTTCCCTCCCATCCATACCTCTCCCCACCGTCCTCTCCTCCCCTCCCCATCCACGGCTCTCCCACACCTCCCCTCTCGTCCCCTCCCCTCCCCTCCCTTCCCTCCCCCGCCCATTCACAGCTCTCCCTCCACGCCCCCTCCCCTCCCTCAACACCTATCACCCACCCCCACCCCTCCCCACCACACCTCTCCAACACTTCCCCTCCCACCCACACTTCCCCCAACACCTATCCCCACCCTAACCCCTCCTGTCCCCACCACACTTCCCCCACCACACTATCCCCCATCCCCCCCACCCACACTTCTCCCACACCTCCCTTCCCGTACCCCTCTCCCCTCCCCTCCCCTACCCTTCTCTCCCCATCCCCCAACACCCTATCCCCCCATCCACCCCTCCCACCCACACTTCTCCCACACCTTTGGCTGACTGCCTTGTCGCGGCCTCCTCCTTCGCCCCGCCCTCTCCTCAGGGGTCAAAGGTCAAGTGGCAGCAAGGGGTGACGAGATACTGATGGGTATCTGTGGGCGTGGAATGGAGTCTGTTGTCGTCCTCCTTCTTCTCTCCTTTTTCTCTTGTTTTCTTCTTTCTCTTTGCTTTCTGTTTTTTCTTTCTTTTCTCTTCTTGTTTCTTATTTTGTTTGTCTGTTTGTCTTTCTGTCTGTCTCTGGTTTTCTCCTTTTCTTCCTCTTTCTCTGATTTTTCCCTTTTTTCCCTTCCCTTCTGTTATCATCCTTCCTTCTTTCTTTTTCTTCTTCTTTCCCGTCTTCCTTCTTTCGTCTCTTACATTTCTTGCTTCCTATCGACGTTTTTCTGTTTCCCTTTCTTTCATTCTCTTTCTTGTCATTTTTCCTTCACTTCCTTCTTCTTTCCATTTTCTATCATCCTTACGCTCTTTTCCTAATCCCTCCTCCCCCTTTTATTCCATCTATCCCTCTTCCCTGACATCACAGCATCCCTTTTTCCCCTCCTCATTCTTCCTTCCTCTCCTTTCTCTCCTTCATCTCCTTTCTCTCCTCCTCCCTTCTTCCTTTCCTTGCCTCTCCTTCCGCTCCTTCCTCCTTCCTTTCT